TATATGAAGACGTTAGCAGTGTAATTGTGTTTTAACACACCCATACAAACACAGTCCAGAACAACACCGACACATTCCTGATATACTGCAGCTGCATTGTATTTATGTCACCAGGATGAATTTTGCATTTTGAAAAACAAAGTTTGCCCAGACAAGAGAAAGTTAGTTTTCCAACATTTGGGGCTTGGGGAATAGTATGTGTGCTTTTGGTTGCAAACAGAAAATGCAAAAAACAGAAGAAACTTAGGATCTCATGTGCATCATCCCTTATTTACTTGCTTAAATGATTTTCTTGATGACAGATGACAATTAGAGAGGATGTTCCAGAACCGTGATTTCGGGCTGTGGGCTGTGATACAGTCTGGGCCCAGTGGGAATCCACTGTTGTGTTCTGCTTAATAATCCAAATCCTCTAAATCCCCCTCGGCCCACTTCAGTCCTTTGATTGCTCCTTGTATTTTTATTGCGTTATACTTAATTTTCATAATCTGGGGCACGGCACTCTTATGGTGTGTGCCGGAGAAAATGAAAGACAGAACCACACAAGTGCTGCATACTGGCCTCCGAAAGTCATTCAGATTACAAGGGTCAGTCTCTAATCCATAAAGCTGGGTATGTCCGCTCGCAACTTGGAGTAATAATTCTTGGAGAAAATGACTGAATTGGAAACTGGTTGTGGCAAGCTGCTCATGTTTATGCACATCCATTGGAGGATGTGATTTGTGTGCAAGTACTAATGTAAATGTGCCAGAGCTTGTGCGTATGCCTGCTTTGCCACCTGGGAAGATGTCGATTGGCGACAGAGGACAGACTCTTACTCATCATGTATCGTGCAACACAACCTTTGGAAGGAAGTAATTCATTCGGTGATAAGCAAAACAAAAAGGGAAGAGAAACAGCAGCGTCAGCAGCCATCAAGATGGTAGAGTGTGATAGGCAAGTGTAGCACTGTAATCAATCTGCACATGTACTCTATGCAAGGCCATGAAGTGCATTTCAAAGTCCATTGCTTGGCTGGAAGGAAATAAAGAAGGGAAAGGCTTGGACCCATTAGATGACAAATGTTGGATGAAAAATGCAATGAGATGATACAAAATGTCTCGTTTACAGTTTTTGTGTCAAACACAATAAAGCAGTTGTAAAGAAAAATACTTTCTTGTTTCACTTAAACAAGACAACATTGATTTATTGTGATTCGGGTGAAATTGGACTGTCGTAGGCCCTACAGTTCACATTAATTCCCATCAGCAACAAAAGAGACATTTCTACACCCAGGAGGAATTAGTTTGAATTAACCAAAGAGGCTGTTTGTCTTTTTTATTACAATTTTGTTGGGTTATAAAATTGTAATAAACAGCTTAACATAATCTAACATAGTAATGTTTACTTTTTTGAAGATCCAACAGCCTCAAATCAAGAGAAACACAAATCAAAACGGATTTCTTATCCCAGAGCCCACTACCCAGAGGGGGACATCCTTTGCAAACGTATCTGAGATAATCAGAGAGAAAAAAGTAAACTTATTATAATATGATATTGCGTCTCATAAAGGGAGCACAGCAATTTTGAAATACAACTTATTGAAAAAGGCAATTTCCGTAACCATTATAATTTATCAGCCCTAATCTCCAATTCTGCGTTATTTGAAATGCATTATTCCTCAAGGATGTAAACAAAAGGTCTCTTGTACATTTTTTTAAATAAACGGACTATTTGTTCAGTGTGAGTGTTACAGCTGAGCATATTGTACAGGGGAAAGCAAAAACTGACCCCATAATAGTTGTTATAGTTATATCCATCACAATAGAATGGTGAACTATTTCTCAGACTGATGTGTTGTTTGTCACCCCATACTGACTGTCACCGAACTGTACTTGCTTTAACACATAGACATTACTGTGCAAACTGCAATCATGTTAATGCACTCTAATGTGAATACCATGTGTTCTATGGTGATGAAAAGCATTATCATACTAAGATTGCATAGTTCTCCTACCATGTCTGTCACTGTCTGTCTCCCAATGATTTTGCATTTTCCCCCCAACAGCCTGATGCCAAGGGTAAGATATACATCTGTCTAATTTCTTGCTTGTCAGCCCACCATCTGGTGGCGTATCAACATTAAAGACAGGAAAATTGGTTTCACACTGTCATTTATGGACATATACACACGCCAACACCCTCACACACACTCACACGTATTAGTCTAGAAAGCACAAGTTAGTGAGGCCATAGGTGGTAGGCATCTTACAAACATTGGTCATTTTTGTTTACCCATTATCTAATCGTTGTCGGGCGAGGCTTTGCTCAGCAACTGACAGCTTTGAAATACTAAAACTAATTTTTTTAAGCTACTTCTTGCTCTTTCCCTCTCTCTGGTATCCTGTCCCGCTCATCCAAGCACACACAGAGCAAGTGACCCAGCTCTCCTTTTTTATAAGATAGATGTAATCATTTTCAAAATTCAAAACATGATTGTTAAAGATCAAATCTTCCGCTTTAATTAAAAATGTGTTGCCTTTAGCCTCTCAAAAACAATATTTGTACTGCAGCAAAAAAAAAAAAAGTTTGCTTGCACGCATCTGTATTACAAATGTGGTCTACCAGAAATGTAACAGTAAAACAATAAAAGTGTTTTACCTATAACATACATTCATATACAGTCTAACAATAACATGAACTACTCTTGTGGAAAAACAGGTTTGTCATCAAGGATTTCAAATGCAGTCTTCACGTCCTCAAGCACAAGCTCAGGGCAGACATTCAGCGCCGAACAACTGTCACATCTTAGTTCTGATAGACATAAATACAATCACCATTATATCAGCATAGGAAAAACATGAATCCATTATCCTTTGAATTGCTGATACACTATCAATCAGGTTTTGTTGTTATTATAAAACCTATTCATGCTACCTATGAGCAGCAAATGGCTGATGGACAAAGCAAGCTCATAAATATATTGAAGCAATCCACAGTTTAAGAGCCAGATAATTACCTAATAATTATAACAAGAATAAAAACAGCTCAAATGTGATTCATATTGGACTGCCCGCAAAGTGGCTAGAAACACGACTCCAAATAAAAGTGTTATACTGCTTACAAACTCACCATATCAACTTAAAAGGCATTTATCTGTCAATGCTGTGTTCATAACTTGTTTCCACTGCCCCCAACTGGCCAACAAATCAGTTGCGGGTTGAAATCCATAGACTTTCACTACTGTTGAAGCAGAATTCCCCAACTGCGCTGAAAGAAACCCCTACTGTGTCAACCATTGCTAACTGGTATCAAATACATAAGAAACCCTAACCCTAACCATACAACATTATTTTGTTCTAAACTTAAAAACAAACAAGATAGCCGTCAAATAAATGTAATAATAGTATCTTAATATTTCTGGCACGTACAGTATAAGATAAATTGCTGCTTCCTAGCATTTTTCATTTGTGCTCTCTACAAAGACCCAGAAGAATAGAACTGATTTGTATGTTGAGATTCATCTAGTCCCTCCCTTAATCTCTTCTGCTGAGTACTATCTCTTTTGGCTTCTTGGAACCTTGTAAAAGTACCATTAGGATAGGAGCTTCTGGAAGAACTTAATGAGCAAAGGCAGCTGAAAAGAGGAGAGGTTTCATTCATTCCTTTCCTTTTCAAGAGCAGACTCCTCAAGGTCTCAAATGCGGAAGCTCTGTATTTTAAAGTGGCCTCTTTCATTGAAAAGCATCATTATTTCTTTAGAACATTGTCCGAGGGTAGAGAACAAGAACCACCACCATAGTGCGGTTTATTCGGAATGGACCAAGGACATAGATTCACCAGAAATAGCCATTCATGTTTCTGTTTGAAGAAAACCTATTTAAAGTGTTTAAAAGACACCACGGCCTTGCAACACGTGAGACATGTCACCAGCAGCTTAATTAAAGATGCGCTGTGTAAACGTGTTGTTTAAAAATGCAATTATGCCCTTTTTTCTTAGAGTTAATTAGCCCTCAAATTATGTCCTGTGAACTAAAAAAGCTAAAATGTCGATGGATATTACTGTGATAACCTGTGGCAATACATTGTGTCACCGCACCTCTTCCTGTGTCACTGGGCCACAGGGAGTTACATTTACCAGTGTGACATCTGTGCAATTAGCACATGTGAAAATGTAAGTCGTCCTTATAAATTATCCACTGGCAGCAGTAATGAACAGATCTTCACATATACCACCTGACATTGTTAAAATGCTCATGGCTCTTATGTGACTGATCTTAGCATATGCTTACTTTAGTCTCTTTCTCAATAGCTTTGGTTATTTTGAATCAGAGTGATTTCTTTTCACTTTTGATTTGTTTTCTCATTTGTCTAGTTAGGTTTAGAAGCACAAATGAATACAGGAGAATGGGACAAATTAGATTCCCTCTTCTACAGTTTGCTCATAAGAATCACTTCTTTTTTAACTTTATTTAGAATATTCAACATGTTCTCTACAAGCCAAGATTCCTATTCACATCATACCTCCTCCAGAAGTCCCAGTTAGTCCTCTCCCACTCATTTAACCCTGTCTTTTACCTGTGTCCATTTCAACAAATGTCCGCACAGGCAGCCCATCATTGCCTGCATTTTGGTCGACTTCCAGTAATTGGGTCAAATTTGTTTCTGATTGCCTTTGAACCACACTAAGGTTCACACTAGAGTTTACTCGCAAGCAGTCTCAGAAAGAATGATTGCTGTGTTCACAGCAGAGGTTAAGACACATGGAGTTTAATTAAAACAGATTAAATGCTGGCTTGTGAAAGCGCCCTTAAAATGTGGAAATGATGCAGAGCTCTGCAAGAGAAAGTACTTACATGGTATAAATTCTGCATACTCAGACAATTGAGATTCAAAGATGCAGGTGTTCGCTTCTACATGCACATAATGTACCGGCACACATACACATTTTGACACAATCCGCATATCAATATGTTTGCTTTTCAAATGTGTGCCTAATTTTTGTCCTAATTCTGTTGCAGGTGACAGAGACACGGACGGGGCCGCTGGGATGCAGTAGCTATGACAATCTCGACTCGGTTAGCTCCATCCTTCTGCAGAGCCCAGAGAGCAAGATTAATCTGCAAGGTAAACAATCCCAGCATATCAATCATTTCCACATGCTGCCCATTGATGTTGGACATCACAGGTTAGCAGGGCCAAACTTCATGTTAGCCTCCCTAAAACAAAGGAGATCTATAGTCATACATGGAATGCTCTTATTTGTACAAGGCCTTCTCAATACTTTAATGCATTTTTAAATTGGAACTGGGATATATTTGCTTCCCAATCCTCTCTGGGGACTGCGATATGATTTTCTCCTGTTACAGGTATTTGCTAACGTGACCATGGTCTTAGTCGCTCTTAAAGCTTTCTGCAAAGAGAGGCCTGAATTCAACTGAACTGAAGAAACTATTCAGACATTAACGCAGGAACCAGCACTGTCTAAGTAGAAACAATGTATAAAAGGAAAGGTATCGCTGTACTGATCAATATACAGTAAGTGTCGAACTGATTTATTTTTAGTTGATCAGAATGTATCTTTTTAATGTAGTCGACACATAAATGATTTACTTTATAACTTGATATCACAGATCAAATGTCAGTATATGCAAATAGCAACGGTTACCCATTAGTGGTTATGTTCTTTTAAGCGAAAAATAGTTCTGTCTTAAACATTGACACAATTTATAATTAGCATGCGAGAAGGAATAGCTTGCAGTGACAGCCACCCTGGGGACAAGACTGATAAAAGACTGTGTTACTGTGGTCAAGTGTTTGAACAGAGTGATTGTTTCTTTGATTTATTCGAATGTACGCAGGTTATTAAAACTAGTGTGAGAATTACAGGCTTATTTTCAATCCAATGCACACCACCCCCCCCCCCCCCCCCCCCCCCCCCCCTCTCCCTCTCTTTCCTCTCTCTGAAGGGATCATTACTCGTCCTCTGAAAATCAGAGAACTAAGTGGTTTGTCAAGGAAACACTTTTAAGTCTTCCGCTGCCACTTACTCAAAGGACTCTATAGGTTTTGGGAAAAGCTTTATTGTCATGCACCAAACGTATTAGCCTTGTGCTTTGAAGACTGTTTTGTCACCCAATTGACAGATGACAGGTCTGCGAAAGATTATTTTCTTTTGGCTGGATAATAGCCCCAATAGACTGGAGTCGTTTTTCCGATTGGTTTCTGGCTTAGAGTTTTGTATTATGCCAAATGATATTGGATGTGTTTATGCATTTTGTGTGTGGGCGAAGGGTGATGGGAGGTGTTGAGAGTTCTGCTGAAAATGTGCTCTTTATAGAGCAATTATGCTTTTGCGCCTTTAATTATAAAGACAGCTGATGGTGTAACTTCCCCAGTAAATCACAGTGCTCTTCAAAGTGATAGCACTTCACACAGCCCATAGGGAGGTGTATAGTCAAAGGAGGGCTTTTAAGGATTACACTGTTCAAATACATTTTTTAATGAGATTCTAATTCACCCTTATAGTTATCCTTTTGTCATGAACACTGGTGTAAGTGTAACAATTAGTTTTATGTTATCCCTTAGTGAACCATGTGTTATTCTCATATTAAGCCAGCCATGTGCATTTAAAAGATACTTGTCCTCCTGCACTTAAATTGCTGGTTTAGGTTAAACATTGTTATTCACTTGGGTCACACACTCTGCTGTTGAGTCTCATGTTGGCTGGATTAAGGCGGTTTCATTCATTCAGGCATTTCAATAAACTTCAAAAATGTTTCCTGTTATTGGGAAGTGCAATATAAAACCATCATATATTATTCTAGATCTCTAGGTTTCTCTCTTTTTGAAATGTCAACACAGCATTCGGTTGAAAGCTCTCAGCCATAACACATTGGTAGGTGTATGTGTGGTGTTGTGCATCTATTGTTTAACATATTATTTCATATAGACTCAAGGATGATATTATGTATGAGTTGTATAGATACATTGGATTGTTCTATAACTAAATTGTTCTGTTTGTTATCACTGGTCTAATATGAGTTTTAATACATTTAATCTCGACAGAACGGGCTATAAAGCGCCACAAGCAGCTGTTGTTGTTCTATCTGGGTGCACTTGGAAATATTGAATAATTCCAAAAACTTGCAAGCTAGAGTTTAAGCCATTTGGAACAACTGGTGGACCTCATGGTGGTTCCAAAAGCAGCTTTTTCGCCTTTTATTTGTACAAAACAGCTAGAATCTCTGACAGATTTACAGGATTGTCTGGTCCACACAGTCAATGCCCGAAAAATGAAAGCTTTGACAGCTTTGTCCTTGTCTTTGACAACACGCCGTGAGTGGACTTCACAAACTATCCCTGTGGGGGAGAGGCATTGGCTGGGCCCAGGATTGCTCTTTTTTCAGCTCTCATGGCTCCCAGCACATCTAATGAATACGCACCATGTGTCTCATTTTCAAATGCCCATTGACCTTTATCCAGACAATTAGCTCAAATGCGAACTTTTGGCATTTAAACTGTGGGGAGGAGTCACAGCTGGCCAGAAGATCACGGGTCAATGCACTACTATCTAATAGCAACATTAGCACATTATGCAACATGTTAGATGAAACAGAATACCAGCAAAAAAGAAAAACAACTTTGCCCCAATGTAGATTTAGCATAAAACAAAGATTCAAAAACGTGATATGTATATATTCTTATATTTGGTATTTTCTGTCTTTATACCTTGAGTATGATTTGTGTTAGACATTAAAATAAACACATTAAATGTGTGTTTCTGGACTCCATAGTGATCAACCACCCAATTATTCTTGAATGTTGATGTTTCACCCATAAATAACTGAAGGGAAATGCACATCTCTTGAGGTAATGTAGTTCGGATACGACACTAGCTAAGTGAGAATAACCAATTATAGGTTGGGTGTTCTTGGGTAACTTGGGTAAAATAACACTGTATTACTGACAAAAAATGTATCCAAGAATTACATTTGTTCTCGGTTTCTATGGCACTTACATGTAGCCGTTGCTATATACAGGCTTGTCTGCTTCTCTCTTCTTGTTTTAGACAGCTGTCTAAATCACTGCCAGTGAGTGAATGAAGAGATTGCGAAACCATTTTGAATATTACTTTCAGAAGGTTTCACTTTAGCTGGTTTTATGCACATATATTTTCCTGTTTATGCGTTACTAAAATTGTTCTTTTAGAAATTATTCACCAAGTTACTTTATCTATCCCTTCCTCGGCCCATTCCTCTTTTCTGTTTATTTGAACTCTGCGATACACCATGACGACACATGTTGGACTCTCACGTGTATGCACAAACGTGATTATCTCTGACCAACTGTGACCAGTGTTGAACAAAAAGCTTTTATGTATAATGCCATATTTTGGAAATGAATAAACCTGTAAAAACCGAGACGAGCTATTTTAATTGCTTATGAATTTAATAAGGGGTTCATATTAGTATGCAGCGCCATGTGAGTTACAACAAGGATGCAGTAATAGAAAACCCACTTCATTTCATTCTTCTAATTAAACTTTTAATCATGCCTTTTTTTTTTTTTTTCAAACCTCAGCACTTTATCTACCTAGAGGCACAAGTGTAACTGCAAAACTTTGTTAGAAAATATATACAAGAAAATGATTACAAACCTGTTGGCAAACACCTTTACTGCTGGGATTAGTTATAGAAAGTCTGAGACAGCATTCTGGTTTAAATGAACAAGATAGTCAATTTAGTTGTGGTCAAAGTGCACCTGGAGACACTTTTGACTGTCTCTAGAAAAATAACTGCATTTTTAAAAGGTTTTTTTTCCCCCCCTTCTCCTTCTCACCCCTGCGGTCGCTCTATGTGAGCTGTTGGGCCTGTGAGCCTCAGATAACACAGTGAGGATATGACACTCCCTGGATATTCCCTCTGCTTTCACTTAGATTTAGATTAGAATGCTCTAGTAAAATTCCACATCAAGGGGGCTACCTATCAAAGCTAGAGTCAGTCCTTTCCTCTCCCACAGTTTTGCTTTGTGAAATGTTTGGCAAATTCACCAACACCTTGTGCCTCCTCCTTTACCGGCCTTTTTTCATCAGCAGAATAAGATGGCACTGGAAAAAATAAATTCACATTAGATTTCATGCATGATTTAGCAAAGCTTTGATCCATCAAAGATGAACATTTGCATCCCTTAAACTTAATTTGGCTATGGAGGTTTAGGTTTAACATTTGTGGATGTTTAATGCCATATTTCACAGCTTTATTGGCAGCTAAATACAGAACCACAGGGCATTGGCATGCAGTATGTTATCAGCAGAGGCTGTTTGTGGGCATGCAAGAGGAATTCATTGATCCTGGACCAGTCTTCCTCTGTCACTTAACATAAATTATAGTTTAACCTTGTGTCCCTGAACCTGATATAATCAGCCTATTGGTTATAACAAATTATCAGAGCCATAAATGTGACTACACTCTTAAATTCCTCGTGGATTTTGTATTCATGTGATGGACATGTTTTCCTTTTGTATATTTGAATAAATTCAATCTAAAATATTCACACCATTGAGCCTCTCTACTATGGGGATTTAAATACACTTTTTCTACCACATTGATTGTTCATTGTTTGTTTGTCCTCTCCCCGGGCTACTTTGAGGAAACCCAATGATATTGGTTTTGTCTGGATTCTCACTTTCCCTTAGTACACAATATGCTTTAGGTTGCAGGGATCATGTTGTCATTTTTATTTTCTCTTAATACCCTAACTCCTTCCATCTGTCAATATTTATATTGTGTTTGACATTTGAATAGGTGGTATTTTTTAAATAGCAAAGGAGCAGGGGCTTTATATTGGGCAGAATATTGCAATATTTGTTGTGTTATTTGATTTATAGCCAACACAAATAAAGAAAACGTGTACTGGGGAATGAAAATAGCAAATTGGATACATGTATTAACTCTGCCAAAGAAAGATAAAATGCCCTGGAACCTCCACAAGCCATTACCTTGCAAGGACCCAATCACCTCCGATATGGCTGTCATAAATTAGCACCAAAACAAAAGCCGGCTAATTTGTTTCTTTCAATCCCCGACACATGCTTTCTCTATTTTTCTTTCTCCAGTTTCTTCAAC